CTCTTCTAGTTACAACTTCTCAAACTTGGTTGCTGCTTGATGTAGGTTACTAAGCCTTTAAAAATTTTGCATGTGGAGGACATGAAACAAAATATTTTTTTAGGTTTTATATATATTATTTAATAACTACAAAATCATAAATTACTAAGTCATTACCATAGAATTCTACTATAATTTATCAAACATAGTAACTAAGCTGTATTTGGGTCTAAAAAAAATATGAAATTTTGAGAAGCCTAAAGACACAACCTACCTCATTGAAATCTTGATTTAAAAGAAATAAATGATGCTAGGTACATTAGAAAGGCTTAGAAAACCACTAGGGGGACATTCTGAGCTTCCGATTGATTATTCATGTCATATCTAGAAGTAAGTGTTTATAAGGGAGCATTTCCAAATGTAATTTGAGTTTATAATTCGTATAAAACTATAGACTTAGTAAGTATTTTGACTTCACAAACATCTAATCTGAACCAGTGCTGCATTAGTATACCATGTGACACACAAAAATTAATGTTTATCTGTTTTTTTAATATTTAATTTTAAATTAGCAAATTGAGTAATGTACAGTTTTAAAATTTGAATTATAATCTACAGTTTGATACCAAACTTATTGACATAAATTTATGTAATATTAGTTCAATAAAATTTTGAATGCAAGTCAACAAACAAGATAACATGGCCTTTCACCTGTGACCTGTATGGAAAGGGTTAAGGGCCCAGGCAGGCATGGGAATTGAGCAAGAAAGAAGGTGAAGATAAAAGAAGCAGTAGGAAGTGGAAGTGACAGAGGAAGAAAATACCCTGAGGTACCGGGAAAGGTAAAGTGAAGTGGGCAACACCACCAGATAGCAAGCAATGGTGAAAACTGACAAACCATGGTGAAAAATAACAGAAAGACGGAACAAAGTAGGATGGCCAGGAGAAAAGGAGTGGTAGAAGGATGAATGATGCATGAATCCTTCTGTCCATGACAGACAAACAAAGTGAAAGGGTGATGGAAATGTGACAAGAAGGTTACATGATAGGAGATTCCAGCCTGATGAGCAATGGACTGGATAATATCCTCTGATGAAAAAGGGACATGTGAGTTTGCAGCAAGAGCGAGGGAACCTCAGATACATGAAGTGTGTATGGGGGGGGGGGGGGGCAGGACACCAATGGAAGAAGCAGAAGATACCAGGGCAGAGACACCACAC